AAAAAAAAAAAAAGAAAAGGAATGGCATGTCTCAAAGCTGGGATTGATTTAAGACAACTGAGAATGTCCAAAAGAAACACTCCTAAATCAAATTCAGGTGGGTAATGCTCTCAGGATATGGTGAGAAGTGCCAGTCCCAGCCCTCAGGCAGTACTTGGAATTAGGTGACTGAACTGGAGTAGGGAAGCTGGGTGTGTGGAGTAGGGGAAAGCATGAGGTTGGGACTCCCAGTAGGATTCCCACAGGCGGGTGGAAATTATCTGAGAGAGTATGGATGCTTTAAGGTTGTGGTACTCTCTTTCTTACTCATTATGTTTCTCTGGGCCTCCAATACTGATTTCCATGTACACTTCCAGACCAGATAGTGGGCTAGTAGAAGGGAAAATCAGGGGAGGCATAATGATTAAGGGTTTGGACTCCCAGATAAGACAGACACATCTCATGGGGGCTTTGGTGGGAATTAAAATAAAGCATGGATAGCCTTAAGCATGATGCCTAGCACATATAATCACATAATCAATGCCAGCTAACAATATTATCTTCAGTGTCTGGTAGTGCCATAATAGATGCTCAATAATTTTCAGTGGAATGGCATAAACATATAACTATGGTCTATAGATGGAGGTTTCAGAGAAGTGACTCCTCTTGGAATCATTTCCAAAGCTTATCTATTAGTTGCAAACATTTTGACCTATTCTTTAACCTTTAACAATGTTCCCTTGAGGACATCAAGTAAGCAATGCTTGCCCAGCCTTCTGCATTCTCTATATATCCTTAAATGCAATGAAACAATATTTATTTTTAAAAAGAATTCAGATGTTACTAATTTAGGAAAGCACTTTACTCATACATTCAGTGTTATCAGAGAACTGCCAGACTAATTTGTGTAGGAACTCATGTATTTATAACTACCATTTATTCAGCATTAATTTTGTGCCTGGCATGGGGCTAAGATCTCTACATAAATTATCATATATAATATTCAGATCATCATTGTGAGACAGCTATGCTTTCCCTCATTTTTTACAAAAGAAAACAAAACTTTGGAGAAGTTGAATAATTTGGGTATGGTTTCACAAAAGTAACAGAATAAGGATTAAAACCCAAACACCAAAGCTGTGTTTTAATCACTGTTACCCACTTCTTTCAGAGGGAAAAGCTGTTGTTTTTCTATAAAAAAGAAATAGAGCATTGGCCTTTGCTGCAAGGCTATTAACTTCTGTACCATGAGACAAGAAATATTTTTTTTCTAAGATGTTCAATTTACCATTGGGATGGACCTGACATTTAGAAGACCAGAAAATCAGACATGGAGGAGATTGAATACACCAGGGAAATTCTGTGACCAACAGCCATGTGTGATTACTTGCTAAGCTACATTAACCTAATGGACACTAAGAAAAAGAATGTGTTCAGTGGAGTTATCAAGACTGTCTTTACTTACTCAAAACACAAAACCATCAATCCTTATTTCTAGAAAAGGACTGATATTGTTCCTGCTCACCCTGTAAATCATCCAAATGCCGAGAACTCCAACTTCCCTTTATGTAGACAATTGTCTAAATTGCCAACATCATCCATTATTTATTTTTATTCTCAAAACTACCCTGTATGTTAGGCAGGGCAGGTGTTAATTAACTCCACTTTACAATGAAGAAATTCAGGAACAGAGAGGGATCCTGACAATCTATGTCTCACAGCACATTAGTGACCAAATCAGAATGAGAACAAATTCTGCTCCTGAGTTCACTCTTCTTGACACTAGACCCTACACTACTTTATTTTAATTAAAATTCTTCAGGCATTCATTGGCAATGAGTTAAAGCTCTGAAAAAGATCCAATTAATTGCTCTCTGACATGATAGGTTTTTGAAAAGTTTCACCTCAGTTGATGGATTCATTAATTTTAGAACATCTTATTTGCTTTCTGCTAATAGAATTTTCAGAAGGTGATTGGTTATAGTTACCTTTTCTAAGCCTCATGGAGAGTTTAAATGTCATTCTATACAAAGATATTTACTGCATGGAATACTAGTCTAATTAATTTTTGATTGCAACTAGGAATTGCTCTAAGTCATTCCTATCTGTAGTTGCATTGTAAGCCTTACTGATATCACTGGGATTTATTAAGTAGAGGTGTTCACATGTGTGAATTTAGGTACACATATGTGCAAACATAGGTTGATAATGGTTGTTTAACTTTGTGAAAATTAAGACATGTGTTTCAAGGTTTTTTCAGGTGGTACTTTTTCCCACAATGTTCCAGCTTTAGGTAATACAAGAGCTTGACTGCAGTATATTCTGGGAAATCCTTCTGAACCGGGAAGGTCTGATAATCAACATGCCTAAAGAGCACAGAGAAAACTCCTTAAGAGGACAGCCTTCCAAATCCAGGACAGTAAATGCTAGGGATGGGTACAAACAAGTCCATTAGATATAGCTTTCTTCATCTGAGGGGATGGATTGAGGATAAATGTCAAGCATTGAGAGCTGAAGTGGTTTTAGGCCTTAGGAATTTGTATTGAATTTGGAAGATTTGAGGCAATATAAGGAAATATTAGGAGTCTTAGGGAAAGGTGTTGTCAGTCATAAACAATAGATTTTTCAAAACTGAATTATGTGCTCCTGCTGAATTCAGTGCAAATCATGAAATGAAGGTTGAAACCCAGGCAAACTGAATAGGCTAAAGGTCTGAGTGACAGTAATTTGTCTCAAGGGCAACCTGAGGATTTACTCCAAGTTCAGCAGCTTCTAGGCTGGAAGCTGGAAGAGTAAATTCAAATTCCATAAGATAGTGGGAAGATCTATGAAAACCCTGGCTACCTTTGTTAGGACTGGCTCTGTGTCTGAAATGGATGGAACCAGTGTGGAGAAAATGATACTTTGAACAGCTATGTCTTCTCTGGCTTCAGACACTTGACACAGGTTCTTTCCTTATCAAACACTCATTTGCTCCTTCCTTCATACTTTGCCCAGCTAATTCCTAGTTAACATTTAGGTCCAGCTTAAACATCACATTTCTTCAGGAAGATCTTTCCTGAAGTCCTGTCTAGATGAGGTTCTTCTGCTATATGTTCCCATAACATATTGACTATCTGTACTTTACTGTAATTATTTACCTATTTTCCCCTCTGGGCTATGAGCTCGGTAAAGGAAAAGACTACAACTTCTTGTTTACTGTTCTACCCCAGTCCTTAGCACTATTTCTGGCCTGAATCTGAGCCAACTGAGATTCATATGTTAGGGGCTTTTTCCCAAGATCATATGACTATAATTGTTGGAAATGAGGCTGGAATCCAGGTTTTCTGACTTATAATCCATTAGTGTTTATGCTGCAATCCAAAACTGTTGTTATAAATCCAGTATACTATTTGGCTTGTTTGGACAATCACTGAATCTAGACTTAACCTCTCTGGTGTAAGTTGTCCATTCTTGTCCATGAGAAACAGTGCTCATATGACCCTTTCTATCCAGAGATATGATATGATAATCTAGTGTGACCAATGATGCAAAAAAGCTTTGATAAAACTACGATGTAACCATGGATAGACAGATGTATTAACATTATTCTTTTCAAAGTGCTTTACATCACTAGTTTCAACTTGGATTCTTGAGGTCGGTTGGACTGAAATCCCACACTGATGTCCAACAACTCATGACTCACTCAAAGTCAGCAGCATAACTGAAATTGGCTTCTAATACCCTCAAAACAATTTTTCCTATATAAAATTTTAGTGGTGCTCATTGTGGTGAACATTTATATTTTTTTATTAAGAGGTGGAGAGCTCTATTTGTTCTATTTTATTAAGAGGAAAGACCAGTAGGAACTCAAATCTTTAGATGTTTATTCTTTAGCCTCCTAGAGCTTAGTATATCTGATTTGAAGGAAGTCAAGAATTTGACTTTGTAGCCCACCAGCTGTTCATAAATGCAAGCACTCAACTTGCAGGGGGTGCGCATGACTCAATAAAACTTTTTCCTCTGCCGAGGATATGACTCACAGTTCAGCACCACTAATGGGGACTAAAGGGTGGTCAGGGACATTGCTTTCAAATGGAGAAGGCAGCAGGAAAAGCTCCAAGTGTTTGAATTATTTAGCAGAATATGCTTACCTTGGTGTTCTTGGCTTAAGCTCAAGACAAAAGCAGAGATCTTTGAACCAGTGATTATAGCCATTAATCACCCCTCTCCCCACCATAAGCAATGTCTCAAGGTACCCTAAAATGGATTTTAATCCTCTCACAGGGGAATGGTTGGTGGCAAACTAAGTAGTTTGGTCCCTCTGGTTATATAATATATTCCTTAGATAAAATGTTAAGCTTCGTTCTTTCACCTCATAAAATCAGAATGCAGCAAGCAAAGCAGCCACGGAGCTCTTATTTAACAGAATATTCACTGAATTTTTCCCAGTAGCAATGATTGCCGTGGATGTGGTGCTGTTTTCTGAGGGAACAGCCTGATGATCCCCACCAGGTTCTATCTATAGCCAAGTTTTGAAGAAGAGAAAGAACTGAGATTTTTAGGTCGGAAATGATATCAATATAAGCTTTGACAGTTTCTGGCAATATGAAGTAAGTTAAGTAACTTAAATTATCTGCATCTTTTTTATCAGTGAATAGAGACAATATCTCAGATTCTTCTGAGGATCAAAGGGAAACATTGACATTCCTGGCATGGCACAAGGGTGATGAGGCTGGCACAGCCTTTGGATCTTCAATTATTAAAAAAAGAAAGAAACGGGGAAAAGGGTGCTAGCCTACGGCAAAAAATATAGAAATAAAATGTTAACTTGGAGGTAGACTGTTAAACTCTTTTAGCAAGGGAGGTGGGAAAACAATCTAGTCCCTCACTTTGCTCTCAGTGTGTGTTCAGCTTCAGACTGCATTCACTTGGCATATTTACTGACCTTTGAAATTACATTCAACAGCTAAATATTTCCCAGCACAGCTATCTCCACTGAGCTCCATTATCAGGACTATTTGTTTATCAGACTGAGTTGCTGCCTTTGTCTTCAGCCTTTGAGACACAATTATTATGGAACCAGGAAGAGACACCTCACCAGCAGTGAAGATGGTCAAGTCAACAACAGTGGCAAGAGGCGGAGGGAATGGGGAATGGGTTTGGCCACTAACTGGAAAGAGTTTCTAAAGGGTTTCTTTCCTCTGCAGAATTTCTTTGCCATAAAATTATTGGCTCTTGGGATTGGAAGATATACAAAATTTGATCCAAAGCAATTCTATCTAAAGTCTAAGTACCTCTCATAACAGAGAATTTACTCTACTGAGCCAAGCCCAGCCTTTTTGCTGCCCCACATTCTGGGCTCACCCATTACAAGGGGACAAGGCATCACAGGTTCTGACCAGAATGCAGGACTGCATGCCAATAATTTTAGGGATAGGATGACAATAACCTAATCGTATTTTCATCTCTGTTGTAGGGAGGAGGTAACAGGTGTTCTGGGGAAGAAAAGCAGAGCACGTCTCCACTCATATTCTGTAACAGCAGAATGTAAGGTGTGAGTAATTAATGTCTACGCAAAGCTTGGGAAGAAGTGTTTGAGGCAAAATAACCAGGTAATCAGCTCAGTTAATTTTCTTCCCTGAAAAGGGGACTTAATTTTTTTTTCTTTTTTTTGGGGGGGGGTGTTACAATGGAGTCTTTTTTACCAATACTATTTTTTATTGTCCTACAGTATCATTTACCAGGAATGAAGAAGTCTGAACCCCCAGAGCAATGAGATTTCCTGACCCTTCTATCTGTCTTTGCTTTTCCAACTTAAAACATGAAAAACTGCTTAAAGGGAAATATAAAGTTTTAGAAAAGAGAGCTTTGTGTTGAAGTTTGTTTGTCTGAACCCCAAGTCCAGTCTTTTATCAAAAAAGATGATGTGGGGTGGCTCAGTTGGTTAAGCATCTGTCTTCGGCTCAGGTCAGAGTTCTGGGATCAAGCCCTGAGTCGGGCTCCCTGCTCACTGGGGAGCCTGCTTCTCCCTCTTCTGCTCCCCTTGCTTGGGCACTCTCTCTCTCTCTGCCAAATAAATAAATAAAATCTTTAAAAAAAAAAGATGATGTTGTCCTTGGATTTTACCACAGAAGGTAGTTTTTGTAGTTAGCTGACTCAGTATCTATTTTTACTACTAGCTGTGATCAAGAATAAATGACTAACCTAAGTTTCATTTTTTTTTTGTAAAATGGAATAATGATCAATCCCCTAATGGATTAAATTAAATGACTATAAAAGTACTTTTATGGTGTACAAATCTCTATATCATCATTGTCTGATAGAAATAAGATGCAAACCATATATGTAACTTCAAATTTTCTAGTAACTACATAAAAAGTAAAAGCAAATGGGAAAAATTAATTTTATTATATATTTTATTTAACCTAATATATTATTATATCAATAATTAATTAATATATTAATGTATTATAATTAATTAATATTACTGTATTAGTAGCATAGTAATATAATATAACCTAATACATATTATATAATTGATTAATATTAATATATTATTGAAAATATTATTTTAATATGTAATCGATACAAAAATTGTTCATGAGTTACTTTGCAGTTTCTCACACTAATTCTTCAAATCCCAATTTTTATTTGTACTCACAGACCACCTCGATTCAGACTAGCCACATTTCATTTAGTCAATAGGCACAATTGATTAGTGGCTACAGTGTGGAACAGCCTATAACTATTAATTATGATTTTGTAACATAGCAGGATCTTACAGAGAGATGAAACATTGCTGATATCATGTAGATGTAAAAAAAAAATAGAAACAAAAGAAAAGGAAAGGAATTTGTCCTCCTCCCCCAGTTGATAAATTCTAGTATGGGAGAATAATTTGTAGGTTCATTTGAAAGGGACAATATATTTAGCCATTAGCAGCCCTTAATTCCTTATGGAATGGGCATCTGGAAGCTCTTCCTGCAATTGGTTTTTGAGGGCCAGACTGGTGAAGGAAAAGGCAAATGACCTTAAAATCTTGGAGAAGAGGAAAGCCTAGATGTGGAATGAACACAAAAAAAGACAGACTGGGGACCCAGAGAAAAACCTGCCAACATTCCAGTGTTAACAAGCCTGTCATATTTTGTTCAGAGGCCCAAAGGTGGCACTTCCCAGAAGACCCAGGTACCTTTGTCTGAACAAGAATGTATTCTCCAGGGAATCTGAAGGAGGAAGTGAACAGCTTAGCCTATACACAGTCCTATTCCTAGGAATACACGCCAGGCTTGAATTAAATGCCTTGCCTTATCCAACTCAATCGTCACGGGCAGAACCCTGGAACTTTTATCCATACTTGTGTTTTGATTACAGTCTCTCAGTCTCTGTGTCCTCTAGATAACACTTACAGTGGCTTCTGCGGTATTGTCCCACTTCTCTGAGTGGGGGTGAAAAGTATCTGCCCAGAATATGGATTGGCAAGAGTTATAAACACAAAAATGTTATTAAGTCCAGTCAGCAAAGTCCAGTTATTTTTGAGGTCACTGAACCAACCAGTATGCAAAAAATAGTAGACAGTAATAAATAGTAATTAAAAAGTAATAATATTTTTTAGCCCTGACCTCACCAACCTGAAGTTCAACAATGTTGTTAGAGTGATAGGTACAAAAATAGAGCCTTAATTCCTCAGTGGGTCTCCTGGTCTCACTCTTTCTCTGATTTTTCATTACTTGTGCCTTTTGTGCCCTTGAAATACTGCAGGATGCACTAATTTAAGGTGGATTTAACCCAGGACTACTTTGTAATAATGGAACAAAATTTGATGCAGGCTGTTGTATTTCCCAATATTTTGCTTCTTCTTGCCTTCCCTCTCTCCCTAATAAGAGAAAAAGGTATATTGGGGGTAGGGGGATTCTCAGCTTGGGGAGATCCCCTCATGCCCCCACCAAAACTTTTGGTAATGTCTGGAGACATTTTTGGTTGTCATGACTCAAGGAGAGGTGCTTCTGGAGATGGTGACTTGAGAGAAGTGTTCAAGGGTGAGGAGGAGCTAGCCAGAGAGGTGGAGAAGGAAGACTTCCCAAGCAAGGGGCGCCAAGAGCACTGCAGGTGTGTGCAGGTGGCAGCAAGCTGACTGGTGAAGCTGAAGTGTAACATGAAGCAAGGAGGAGTGACTTTATAACTTGCTATTTGGACCTAACTGGGTTCTCACCAAATTTCATTTAAATCTGGTTCAATTCCATCCCCAGTCTTTTATGCTTTCTATTGGCCTAATCTTGCGTTAATTAGAGTGCCCTGAGAACATTTGGGGAGTCAAGATGTGATGCCTGCCTGGGGCTCTGACCAGACCTCAGACTGCAATCTCTACCATTCAGCAGGCTGCAGCCACACTGCCTTCATTGTTCTCAATCTAACTTCATCTGGAGAGTTCTGTCCTTGCTGATCCATGACTTGGAACACACTTTACCCAGAGTTGTGCTCACTAATTCCTTCTCAATTAAACTATCACCTCCTCAGCAACTTCTCTGCTATCTCCCCTAAATAATTTGACACACATCTCCATTGCATTTTGTTGCCTTATTTTCTTAATAACAGTCATCAGTATCTGGGATTATCTTTATTAGCTTGTTGGCTTACTCATTTCTCTATTGCCTGACTCCTACTAGAGTGTGAACTCCAAGAGAGCAGGGCCTGGCCTGTCAGGTGTAGTACCATGTCATTAACATGGACTTTTGTTCCTTGAACCTGCTGACGCTCAGCAAATATATTTTTCAAAAAGGAAAGCATTCGTCAAGGAAATAATCAAAGAGTAATTAGTAACACATTTCCCGACACAGCTGAATGGGCCCCATCGGGTCACTGTGATCATAAGTGTAAAAGGGGATCATATAAAGGGAGGGGAGAGTCTTCTGATGGAATTCCTGGCAGGAGGAAATTAATAAATAAAATGTGTGTAGCAATTCTTCTTTATCACCTCTATCACATTACTGCTCCCTCTCCCAGATCCTGGAAGGAGACAAGGAGAAAAGCCCTAGATTAGTCCTCTGCTGGCAGCTCATCCAGGCAATGCAGGGCAGTTGGTGAGCCAACCCCTAGCCCTTTGCCTCCTGGATGGCAGGAAACTAGCTTCCAGATGGTGAAGAATGGCTTTCAATTTATATTTCTGCCATTTGCCTTTGTTTTCGGGTAAAGGCCTGAAGTCACAGGGTCTTCCTGCCTGCCAGGTTGGAAGCCAGATGATGGATCACTCTTAGGCAGACAAAGGAAAAATGTTGGCGATAATCTGAAAGTGGTGGCCAAGCTCAGGAGAGGTCATGGGAAGAGATGCCATCTGTGCAAACTGCCCACTGACTTGCTGTCAAATAGTAGAGAGCAGTGTGATAGAAAGGGACCATCAATGCCCAAGTAGGGTGGGCTATTGCTTATGTGCAGGGGCCTATAGAAATTGTAGTTGAGAAGAGCTCCCTCATATAAGGTCTCCCCAGCACACAGATGTACAAGGGTCATCTCAATGATGGCATTCCAAAACATCCTGATCCCACACCACCCCCGTGCTTTTAAAATTCTCTCTCCCCCAGTATTTCTCATCTCCCTAACCAATAGCATCATCCACCTAGTTGTCCAAGCCAAAACCTGAGAGGGCTCCTTGATGCCCCTTATTTCCACCTCTATCAACTCCCAAATGGATCTAGAATCAGCCTATCATTCTCCAACCTGGTCCTGACCAACATCACCTCAAACCTGCACTGAAAATGCCAATCAGGTCTTCCACCTTCTATTCATAATTCCACTCTTCCTTATACAGACGCTGAGGGGGTTTCTAAAAGAATTTTATCAGATTAGCCCATCTGTCTACCTCATTTCTATGGCTTCTGGTTGCACTTGGGGGGTGGAGGGGACAAACAAACAAAAACAACCTGCCTGATTTTGTCTGTTCCTAATCTGAGGCCCCAACTTCACCTCTTATCACTTTGCTCCTAACCATATGTCAACTCTGGGTTCCAAGAAG